TAGGGGACCCTAATATAGTACCCCATTTATGTCTTCTTGTCCGTAGTTCTTGGCGTCGCCCACGGGATGCCGATGGTGCCCCACGGTAGTGAAAATATAGTACCCCAAACAATAGGATCCTTATTATAAGGACCCCAAAATAAGGTACCCCTAATTTTCCTAAACCCTAAACCCTAAATCCCCTAAAACCCCTAATTTTCGGAAACTCCCACATGTTTGTAAGACTGACCGAACATCCACGGCCCTCCAGGCTCATAGTCTGCATAAGGCTCAGAGATAGGATGGGTCGAATAGAGGGGCCTTGACTAAACCTTAAACCCTAAACCCTAAGCCCTAAACCCTAGAATAGGTATAACATTAATGGGCTGCTCATCTTCGAAAGTTGCACCTTGCTCCTGCAAGAAAGCATTTCAGGCTTTTTGCTAGAGTCATGACATTCTGGTGATGAGAAATTTGCATAGAGGTACAGATGCAGATGCAGATATAAATGGCATACACGTTTACGTATATGTGTGTATGTATATATATATATATATATATGATATATGCATATTGATGCACGGAAGAAGGATGGGTCCTTTTCAGGACATCCACCTTCTGGATGAGGTCTGGCAAACCTGCTTAGGACGTCCTAGCGTGAACGATCTTTTCTCAAAAGCTGTCAAGATCGTCCGTAAGCCCTGAACCCTGATCCTAAACCCGGAACCCTAAACCAAAATGCTATACAGCCCACGAAGTCGCGGTGAAGCCCCTATAACACCCTTGAGAACCCTAATACAAGTTCGTTTGCAAATACCCTAGGCTCTTAACCCTTAACCGTATCAAATAATAAAGAAACCCGACCCTTGTAACGGTGTACATATCGTGACCGATTGTAAACATCCCCCTTGAAGCCGTATCAATGTTTAGGGTTTTGGTGGGTATCGTGTGCTAAAGAGTCCTCGGGAATAGCACAGGTAACTAGCCATGTTTAAATATCAGAAATTGTTTAAAGAATTCGCCAAAGTCCCTCTGAACTCTATAAGAACCCTTTCAAAGACCCTAGAAAAAACTTAGGACGGCCAGCCTGGCGGATGCGGTCAGCTTCCGGGAAGTTGTTCGCACGACGAGCCTGCATGGGATGCATTGAGTTGTATATACTGGTAGAGATTAGGGTTTAGGGTTTTGGGTTAAGGTTTAGGGTAGAGTTTAGGCCGGCTTACAAGGGGAGATCCTTTGTGCAACAGCTCCGCTATCGTTACGACCCCCCCTTCACTGGAGGATGCCGCTGCCACTCCAAGACTCTATGACTCTATGAGCCTTCATCTACACGCCCTCCTTGACACTCCCCGATGGACTACTTACATGGAAGAAACTTCTTTTAAAGGCTGCCACCGAGAGACTGAGCATAAGAAGGTCCCTAGAACTCCATGTTCACCCAACATCCGTGCCGAAAGCCCTAAACCCTAAAACCCTACACCCTGAACCCTAAAATCCTAAACCCTAAATCCTAAACCCCTATAAACCCTAAAGAAAGTAGACCCCCAAATGATCTAGGCTCCCCGGAGAAGAGATACATGGGGGTTTCCGAAAATAGGGGACCCTAATATAGTACCCTAAACAGCAGGATCCTTATGATAAGGACCCCAAA